AGAAATGGCTCCTTTATTTTACTTATTTATTTATTAAATGTATGTGCTGCCCATCCCACTAATAAGGTGGCTCTGGTGACATATGCAATGTTATACAATACATCAAAGACTAATCCTGAATTAATCATCTGGAATATGACTTTTAGAACTTCAAAAATATAACAACAATTAATAATGTTTGTTGCAAAGTTTTTAAGTTTTTATACTTAAACTGTGGTTAGTTGGTTGGGAAAAAAACAAAAGAGAAGTGAAGGATAAATTACTAAAAGTAATTTGTCTATCCTTATGTTTTTAAAAGTGCAGATGTTTGTTTTATCTTGCTTTTTTCTACTGTTTATTTTTTTTAAAAAAACAAAACCATTTCATTAAAATTCATTTTGCACACCTCACTAGATCTTTTTTCAGGCGCTGCGATTAAAGTATAATAGGCAGATAGTAAACTTTGCTGTAAATGCTTAATCAGCCAGCTATAAAGAGAAGTCAGATCTGCAAGAGCAGTTAGTTTTTTGTTAGGATTGCAGTTTTAACTGATTTGCAACACCATCCTCAAACATAAGTTCCAGAGAACTTAGTACTCCTGAATTATTTATTTATTTAAGTGGTGCCTTTGAGTTGATGTTGACTGGCAACTCCCTAAGACAAGTCCTTGCAGCTTTTGGGGGGGCAAGATTTCAGAAATGATTTTGTGCTTGCTTCTTAAGGATGAGAGAGAGTGACTGGCTCAAGGTCAACTCAGTTGTGTTCAGGCCTAGGACAAGACTGGAACTCACAACCCCATTTTTAAGCCTGGTGCCTTAACCACTAAACCAAACTGACTCTCACCGCAGAAAATTGGGTATAATTATAAGTAAACGTTTGTGTGGAACCTGATGCCTTGGTTTCCAGTACAATATTTACTATCTCTGCAGCTTTTGAGGCCTCCTTCCATTAATTAACCTGGTATTCAGATGCTATGATAGTATGTAACGCTTGAGGGAATATCAAGAAAGGCATAAAAATCTCTACTCAGAACGTGAATTGGCTGCCTTTTTGTGCAAGTGAACATACTGTACTTTCAACCACATCTTTAAATGTAGGAGTTCAGAGCACTCTCTGAAGTCTTTTCAATATTGATGAGGGAGAATAGAGGAATCAAATACCAAGGGTAACCTTCCTTAACAATGATTTGTTGCATTAGTTATTCTTATATTTCAAATCATTCTACCCTTTGTTCAGCCTTAAAAGATGCCTTATTGAATTGTTACTGTTTGTTTATTTAAATTTATATATATATTTAAATCCCATGACTTGATTGTTGGATATTTAGGGGTCAGGAAATAACAGTAAAAATTGGAAAAGAGTTGAACATTCCAATTGCCAATATATTAGGAAACAGCTATCCCATTTGTTCATTTAATGAAGTAAGACTGAACAGTCTATGGAAATTCTCAGTCATCCAGGTCATGGTTGTCCCAAAGGTGCTTTTTTCAAGAGGCAACTTGACTTTTACTAAGACTGAACAAGTATGAAGTTTTAAGTATCTGGGGATTATTGCTCTCAGTACTATATCCTACAAAAAGCATTCTGAGGGAGATGGGTGGTTCAGAAATGTGAAAAATGAATAAAAAATTCAAAGGTCATAGTATAAATGCTGAATATAATATTGTGGTAATGTTGAACTTGTTTTATTTCCAGGAGTTGTCATTTTATCACACTTCCTGCCTTTTTTTTGTTTGAGACAAAACTTCTAGCACAATTCTTGTTTGGATTTTAATTTATTATCACAACCCAAATTACGCCCTTTGTAATGAATCCAATTGAATTTTTTCATTGCAGTTGTTCAAGTTCTTGGTTTGGGTTTCCTTATCAATTTCTGTCAATCTTCTAGGATTCACCTTTGACAGACTAGGTTTCAATGATATGGTTTCTAAGAACTGTGATTGTTCAGTGATTGGAATACAGTACAGCAGGCTAATTCTGCTGACTGCCAGCTGTTCAATTCTCACTGGCTCAAGATTGACTCAGCCTTCCATCTTTCCAAGATTGGTAAAATGAGGACCTAGATTGTTGGGGGCAATTTGTTGATTCTGTAACCTGCTTAGAGAGTGCTATACAGCCCTATGAAGTGATATATAAGTCTAAGTGCTTGTGCTATTGCTATTCTCTTGAAGGATATTTTTGACACAAGCGTTATAAAGTGAATATTAAGAGATATGGGTTACCAATTGGATATATCAGTGGTTCCAGTTTACTATAATTTAAGGAGTCCCTGCAAGTTTTATTCCACTAGTCATAGCCAACTTTAGGGGGTGGTACCCATCTCTGTTTCTTTAAATCATTTAGCCAGCACTCTCTGAAGTTGTTTCTGTGTTTATGTGGCCAGCATGACATCACGCCACAGCACAAAGCATATGGCGAAACATGAAATGCTGTTACCTTCCCATCAAAGTGGTACCTATTTATCTACTTATATTTGCATGCTTTTGAACTGTTAGGTTGGCAGGAGCTGAGGCAAGTGACAGAAGCTCATTCCATCATGCAGTGATAGGACTCAAAGTATAGACCAGTGATGGCTAACCTTTTTGCCATCGCGTGCCAGGAGCAGGGTGGGTGGGGTGGGGTCACGTCCGCGCATGTGCCCGCACCCATAATTTTATGTGCCCTGCCCCCGTGCATGCATGTGCGACCCCCCCCCGCTCCCCCCGCTCCTGGCACGTGATGGCATGGTAGGTCCATTTTTCACTCTCCCCAATCTCCAGAGCCTTTATAGGAGTCTGGGGAGGGTGAAAACAGCCTTCCCCACCCCCCTGAAGGCCCTCCAGAGGCTGAAAATGGCCTGTTTGCCAACTTCCAGTGGGACTGAAAATCCTGTTTTTTTGCTGTCCCCAGCCTCCAGAGCCTTTCTAGGAGTCTGGTGGTGGGGAAAATGGCCTTCCCCACCTCCCGGAGTTCCTCCAGATGGCCCGTTTGCCAACTTCTGGTCCCACTGGAGCTGAACTCGCATGCCCACCGATATGGCTATGCGTGCCACCTGTGGCATATGCCATAGGTTCTCCATTACAGGTATAGACCTTCTCTGGCATCTTTTAAGCCACTGAGCCAGGATACCTCTTACTATAATTTAATATGTAATAATTTTTTCTTTGAAGCTATAAAATTATCTACTTGATATGCCATTTCCTACTTAGAGGAGAATCAGTTATATTTGGAACCAATAAGAACATCCCTGTAGGAAAGTTTGCTACTATAGTTCTTATGAATCAACAGGATATGCCCACTTAAATTATGCACTTGATAGATAGAGATATACAATACAGACTTAATCATCTCTTTTTTGCTTCTCCATTTAGGCAAGCATATGTGTATGTACATGTGTTGTGTGGGGCTAAATTTTTGTGCGTCAGCACAAAGCAGGCTTGGTAATTTCTTTTAACTGTGAAGCTCAGGTAAATTTTAGATTACCATTACTTTATGCTAATTTATATCACCTCAAATATATATGTACACTTGTTCTTGATATAGTCATTGACCAAAGGAAAATGATAATGAACTGGAAGAATGCCTATTCAAGTGACAATAGGATGAAAGCAAACATTTGCAAAGGTTGCTAAGAAATTGCCTCCTGCTACACTTTTTCTGTCTCAGCACTTGGCTAATCTTGTTTGCAGAAGAAGCAGGAGAATATCCAGATTAATTCTTTGAAGAAAAACCTCTAAGAAATAACTAGTCTCTAGTTCTGACTGGGAAGTACCTAATACTTGGTAAAAGGCAATAGGTACTGCTTCCTTCCAGACTGTAGCTAAGAATATTGTATGGGTCTACAAGGCAGCAGTCCCATTCAAAGCAGCGCGTACGTCATAGTAGTTTTGCAACTAGAGATGTGTAATCAGGCAAAGAATATCATATTCTAGAGCCAGGATATTCCTAATGTGAGACAGCTGATTATGCTTCCCCCACCCCAGGTTGTGAAATGCTGCACCTCCTGATTTTTGCAGATCACACTATTGCAACATGTTGTGCTTGCACAGGAAAAGGGGAAAAAATCCACTTGATTTTCTTTTTTTGGATCAGCAATCCTATTTATAAACGAGTAATACGAGTGTTCTTTATTATGCTAGTAGCTTGCTTGCCTCTTATGCCCATGTTGCATTTTTCCTATAGTGGGACATTGATGATTATTGTTTTGCCTATCCAGAACTTGACAAAAAGAAGAAAAGACACATAGAAAGCCACTCTTTTACACAGAATCATAAAGTCATGTCAAATGGTGAATGAAAGTAATCAGTTTATGTGCTGTAAATCAGACTAGGTTTATTCTGCATATGTTGCATGTGTATAGCTATGTACCTTCAGACCTCTCTGCCTTGATGATTGAGAATCTTCATTGACATGAATGAGAAGAAACATAAATTGCATTTAATCATTTATAAAAAGTGTGTGCATTTATTCCCTCTTAATCTTCCCAACTGCTTCAAGGCAAACAGCCCTTTCCTTTCCTTTCCTTTCCTTTCCTTTCCTTTCCTTTCCTTTCCTTTCCTTTCCTTTCCTTTCCTTTCCTTTCCTTTCCTTTCCTTTCCTTTCCTTCTTTCCTTCCTCATAAAATGAGGTCATAAATGGTCATAAAATGAACCCTCCCTCCTTTCGGATGTTTTTCCTGTCCTTTTCCAATCTGGATATCTGGTCCCTGATACTAGATTTCGTCTATTGTTTGAGGCTATACTATAATAACTATAGTATAGTTTTTTTAACTATAATAAAACGGCAGTCTGTTTCTTATTGTCTCACTGTTCTACTCCAACAACACAGATTCAACTATGAGTTCCTCCCTTTTCATAATATTATTGCAGCTGCTGTGATTTGTCTATTAATGCAAATAAATTTCAGACTTTATTATTCAATTATAACATTAATGTTCTAAAATTAATACCAGTAGTGTTATCTCTGTCAATGATTCTTACAAAATTAAGTAAGGCAGTAACACAGTTATTTGTGATTTTCAATGTGCTTTTGGTCCTAGAGAGAAGGATACCTATGAACCATAAAGTAGCATTGCCCCATCTCGAGAAAGAAAACCCCAAAACCAAAACGTAAGTTGTAGTTCAATAAAATTCACGTATGCTTATTTCAATCATGTAAGCATTTTAGGAAATCTGAATAAAAATGTTCTGAAGAAATGGAAGATTAGAAAAGTGACATCCAGATTTTCAACTTTCTGATATAGACAAATTGCCTTTAAAAAAAAGTTATATTTTACCAAACATGGAAATGCTCCAAGTAGAATGGTAAGTGCTAGAAAAATTTGGAGCAGAATCAAGGGCAGGAAATGTTGCCGAAAATGACATTTGTTTATAAGTAAGTAAAATCTTAACAATTTTGATAATTATTTGTAAAAAAAGACTTTAGACAGAATCTCATAGCAACTGTCCATGGAACTCATCCCATAACATTAATTGTAATGCTATTAATTAGAAATATGAGAATGGCCCTAGGTGCTTTGCAAAATTTAACTCTTAAGAGAGATTAATTTAATGGAAATAATGTTTTCTTTTCTCTCTTCCACTAAGCAAGATCTATAGATCTTACTGCGTATTCAGCTGCGGAGCTCTGAGAGGCACAAGTGACTGCAAAGGAAAGATAAAAGGATAAGAAACACATCTTTTTGAATGTCCTTGCTCATGAAAGCCTACAGTTATTTCAGTTCCAGAGCTTACTCCCAGGTAAATATTTATTATAATGCAAGCTCAGCTCATTTCTGATAAAGACTGGTCATGCTTTTGGCTGGATTTAGTGATGGAACTGCTTGCCACTGTTTGTGAGTTGAAGTTTATCTTTAATCTATCCTGTGAACAAGACTCTTATTTGTTTCAGAGGTGTTGCGTGGTGTCTACCTTTGCTATAACCAAGGGAATATGTTTTTGATACTATGAATGACAGAGAAGTTTATTTTGGCCAAATACCAACTCACAGACAGAACTTCTAATTCCAACATAATTTGGGGAAATTGCTGTATGTCTGATATGTAAAGGCATCCTATACATATGACTGTAGTTTCCCCATATGTAAAACCCTAGAGACACATGGTTAATGTTAAGTCTAATAATATATACTATTTATTGTATACTTAGTTATTTTAAAACTCCACATATTGAGACAAACAGATTTCCTACAACAAGCCATATGACAAGATACTTTCCAAGCATCAGAGAACATCAGAAGAAAAAAAGACACCCACTTAAAAGCTGCTGGTGTCAAGCCATTCTTTTTTTCTGCTTTTGCCCATATTTAAGTGATACAATCTTTGCTACAAAAATGAAAAAAAAAAGTGAGGGTAAAAATCTACGTTGCCAGAGAGTTGCCTATAAAAGCTGGCCAAATTACAAATATTATGCTCAAGAATATGCTTCAGCTTTGAGACTGTATATCCAGCTGGAATGCAGAAAGTAATAATAATTGTTTTAAAAAAATCTGTAGTAAAATTATGTGTAACAATTTGACTGTTGGAAACAGAAAATCCAAATGAATTCTTGTTCGGCCCTTGCTGGTGATAAAAATATAATTGGTAGCAAGCTAATATATAGTGATAGTTCCCAATCTGCCATCTCATTCTGTGAGTACTGCTTCTTTTAAAACATTTCCATAGGGATTTAAATTGTATATGTATAATTTGGATGGATATCAGGATTGATGTTGTACACTTTGCCTAATAGATGACCAAGCACATTCTCTCTGTTCTTCTGATAATTATTAGTGAGGCCTTGGATCTTTGCTGCCGTTTCTTCATCTATTTTTGTTGATAGATTATCATGAGAGCCCATTATCTGCAAAGACAAAACAGGGTATAATATGTAAAGTAAGCAGAAACATCTATGCAAGTTTCAAAACAACTCATGTTCTCTTCTGTTTGTGATTTGTATAGTCTTTTAACAGCAGGACGCTGTTATTCAAAAAGCCCTTTTTAGATAATTATCTCTCATGCCTCTTGTGGGGATCTAGGATTATGGGATAGAGAGGCTTGTGTTGTGTATGTGTGTATCTATCTCTCTGAAACTGCCAAAGGCAATCATTTTCTGCCCAGAAAAGAAGCAAAAAATAGAAGATAGTGAAGTTGTTCTAAGACTGTCTACAAAGCTAGTGCACTTTGCTAAATCAGCAATGGTTAAATTACCAATTTAGTATCACAAGCTAAATTGGCTTCAGGGAATTACTAATCAAGGAACCACCAAGAACACTCCCACTAACACTGACAGGGCAAGCTACTAGTACATGGGTCCCCAACCCTCAGGCTGTGGATTGGCACCGGTCCGTGGCCCACCAGGAACTGGGCCATGCAATTGAGTGAAGGCCCCTCTGTACATGTAGAGGATGCAGGCATCATGTGAAACCACATTCCTCCAGTCCATGGAAAAAACCCTCTCCATGGAACCAGTCCCTGGCACCCAAGAGGGCCATTACATTAGTATATAAAAAGAGAACAAACCCCATACTCTTCAAGCACTTATGTTATCTATGATAACATAATGAAACATTGGCAACAAAACAACCAAGCTCAGAGTTGACCAAGGATCCCATGTTTCAACCCTGAGTTACAAATATTCTCTTCTGTTACTAAATTAGTTCCATAATGTTTCTGATTTAACCCTAAGTAATGGGGTTAAGCAATTTAGGGAACTTTTGAATATAAACATTTGGTAAACACCTAAGCTATGTATCTAACATTCCAGTGTCCTATTCCATCTAGAAGTCATACCAGTTGGTCAATGGTTAATTGACCAACATGATTCTACTTTGCATACTTAAGTAATTACAATTAGGTTTACTCATGTACAGTACCTTCCTTCAACTAAGCAACAATTTACGATTTCATTACTTCATCAGCAACGGCTAGTAAAATACGGCTATTACCCACTCATTGGAATAACTTAAGCCCTAAATTCTGACACATTTTAATATGTACTTTAATTCAAAAAGATATGTTTTGTCTTTTTTTTTTACAGAAAAGGATCAAATTATAAAATTGGAAAAATGGTGAAAAGGAAAGTATATCCACCCTGATCCACATATTAGTGTAAATAATTAGCTTCACTGCTTAAAAATGTAGATTGAATTAAATCATCAGGCATCTTTTAGTGATACATAGTTTCACATTATAGCTTGAAAAATAAATAATGGGAGGTGTTGATGGATAACTATTAGATTTCATGGAGATGAATTGGCAAAAAGAAAAGACAATGGTATGAATGGTAATGATAACCAATCCTATTGTAATGATGTTTCATTTCCCCGAAAAATAATTATATAAATTAGAGGTGCACATCAAATATGGACAAGTGTCCAAACCAGAGCCTATATGTGTGTGTGTGTACACTTGATGATGTTCTCAAATTTTGACTTGTGTTCTACATAGAAGGGTTTATTATTATAACAGAATTAATTATGCTGTTATAAAACACTGTTATTAAAAAAACCTCTCGTTTTGAGAATATATTCTGCTGATAATGTAATTTGGCAAGTTTGAGCCTATTAAAATGCCTTTCAAATATAATTTTGATTCTGTTGTACAAACCATTTACATTTCTTCCATGCTAGACAATGAAATAATAAAACTCTGCTTTAATCTTATTCTAGATTTGGAAACATGAATGCATAGGATTATTTGTGATTCTTTTTATGAATGCAGGTTACTGATCCTTTTCAAATATATGTAAACAAAGAAATCTACATGTTTCATATCCATATATAATATGTAAACCAAATCCATAGTTTCTAAATAATTGATGATGTGCCATCAAATCATTGTGGATTCTTAACTACAATGTAGGTAGATCTTTTCCATGACAATGACCTGGTCTTTCAGGCATATCAACAGTATAGTCATTGCCAGTGCAACGAAATAATACTGATTCTAATAATCCTAAATAATACTAGTATAAATGTTAATGGGATCATAAGAAATGATGAATCTACTAAGGCAAAGGGAAATCATCAAAGCCATTAAAAAGCAAAAGTTAGAATATTTTGGACATGTGATGTGACACCCAGAAAAATATGACATCCTTCACTTAATTCTTTAGGGAAAGATTGAAGGCAAATGAGGTCCAGGCAGAAGAAGAACATCATGGCTTCAAAACCTAAGGGACTGGTTTGGACAAAACTCAGCAGCAATTTTCATGTGGCTGTTGATAAAAATAGGATTGCCAACATGATCGCCAATGTCCAATGATGGATATGGAAGAAGAAGAAGAAGAAGAAGAAGAAGAAGAAGAAGAAGAGGAAGAAGAAGGGGAAGAAGAAGGGGAAGAAGAGGAAGAGGAAGAGGAAGAAGAAGAAGAAGAAGAAGAAGAAGGAGGAGGAGGAGGAGGAGGAGGAGGAGGAGGAGGAGGAGGAGGAGGAAGGAGAAGGAGAAGGAGAAGGAGAAGGAGAAGGAGAAGGAGAAGGAGAAGGAGAAGGAGAAGGAGAAGGAGAAGAGAGACAGTTTGGTATAGTAGTTTAGAGCCTGGGTATGACCAGAGATACTCAGGTTCAAGTCTATCTTCACCCATAGACACTCGGATCCATTTACCTCATAAAGTTGTTATTGTGAGCAAAAAATAAGAGGAAGTGCCAAGTATGCCACTTGGACCTCCAGAAAGAGAGGTGGGACATAAATTAATCAATATATATACATACTTTTTAAAAAACTATACACAATGTAAGAGAAGTCTCTCCCAAGGCCTCACATGGTTAATTTGGGTTGGAAAAAAGAATTTGATTTATTTTTTTCCCCTGGTATTTCATTGTGGGAAAAGTATAGGGGATTAATTTATTGAGTGAATATCAGTGGTGGGTTGCCCCCGGTTCGGACCGGTTTTCAAGAACCGGTAGTAAAACCAGCGGGAGACTCCGCCCACTGACCCGGATGTCATCATAGGTGATCTGTGCATGCGCAGAAGAGTGCACGGGCGTGATGCAAACTGGTAGTAAAGATAAGTAGAACCCACCCCTGGTGAATATACTTATTGTGTGCAATATTATATTGTAATCAATAAAATTACATTGTTACCTATTGGTATAACCACCAGTGGTGCAGAGATGGAAAAAGGATGTAATTATATCCTGCAGCATTCCATACTAAGCATGAATTTACCTGAACAGTATGCACAGGGTTGTGGTTTTGCGATATTTGTTTTTAATTAACTAAATATTTGACAGATTGTGGTGGAAACAACATTGACCTACCATTTAATTAAATGATATTTCTACATCAATTGAACAATTTAGCAAGGTGATGTTATAAGCAGATGCATACATTCCAAACTATGACTCCTTTCTTCTAGTTTTGTGCTTCCTTTTCACACAAATTTAAATATTTTAACCTTACAGAATTCTGAGTATAATACTTGGGAATTGCTGCCAATATGTGGGCAAACCCTTTCATCATTCTTTATTTTTTCAGAGGAGACCTTCAAGAATGATTAATATGAATGATAATTTATAAGATTAAATTTTCTACTCATTGATTTCTTTAGTGCATAAAAACAGTGGGTTCTTATGAACTTAATCCTCAGCCAGGGATCACACTGACTTTTGAGAAATAGGCAACCTAATTTCAAAAGCTCATTGTTTCAATTAGTTGAGGTGGCTGGCTAGAATGGTCAGCTTCTCTCTGAAAGATGGGCCTAGAGAATGTGTTCATTTCACACATTGTCTGTATAAATAGCCAATACATGGAATTTACAGTTGTGGAAACATAATCACAGTAGGATTCAGGAATCTGAATTGTGATGGAATGTAGGCCAGAGTTGCAGGATAGAGGGGCTCCTTCCCAGTCAGAAAGAGACAAAGCATGGAATCTTTGGTATGCAGAAAGATTGTGAAGGCGGACTATATCACCCTAGCAGTTTGCAGGGGATATTTTGTAGTTATGCTGATAAGCACTTTAGCAAGATTTATGTCTAAAGGCGAAGAAAAATATTCTGAAATAATCCAGCATGGTTTTCTTGGTTCTTTGGGCCTGACAGATCACACAAAATGTATGAACAATTCTTAATATGTACTGTTCCTGCTTTTCCCAGTTTGTGATTTCAGATACTTGATTTTCACCCGCCATCAGTCCTAGCTAGCATAGCCCATATACTAGTCAGAAATCTCTGGAGGACTTCAAACTAGAGAGATTTCAATAATCTAATCTTTCCTTGATATTCTTACCATCTTCCCTTGATGTTCTTACTTACTTCGGAATGCTTCAATCTGAAACCTTTTTCTCTCTGGAGCCTATATTGGTCTATCTCTGCTATGGCTTCTTCCTTGGCTTGCTTCAGTCTCTTTCCTTTTCCTGAAAAAAAAAAAAGTCATACTATTTTAATTGGATTACATATCATTTATTTACTGCAGGAGGTCAGATAAAATTAAAATTCAGTCCCTTCTTTAGTTCAAGAACACTTAGTTCCTTATCCCCTTTCCTTCAGCCCAACCCAGACAAGAACCCCAAACTTAACTTCCTTGCATTTCTACCTCTTTCTCTTTACAGTAGAAGAAATCTCACTGCCAAATTTCTCCTGCCAAGATGCTGTGTATAACCTTATAACTTAACTTTTACAATTATACATAAAACTGTAAAGAGTCTGAATGCAATATAGTTAGGAATTATACCATAAATTATTTTTGCTTCTACTGGAGAGATTTGGAGAAAGGCATTACTCTTTTTTATTCTGGGGAGGGAGACACCTTTGTTTTGTTGATCACTGTTCAATACTCTTTTTTAAAAATAGATTCCCCTAATTTCTTAGAATCTTTGGAAGCTTTGAATCGGAATGATCTCAAGGGCTCATGTCTCTGTCACTAGCATTTTATATAGAATGTCCCAATTTCCTTGTCACATTCAGTCATTTATGAAAATTTATATGGCCATCCAACTCATTCTTGGACAGTTTACTAAGATAAAAGCCCAAAATTTTAAAAAAAAATTAAAAAGCAACAACCCTCCACCCTCTGGCAGCAACAATCAAATAAACCACTCAATCCCATTCTGAGGTCCCTAGGCCTGTTGACAAAATTAGGTCTTCAGAATCTTGAGAAAGAGTGTCAAAATGGGGGCTAATTCATGAGGATGATATTCCACAGGGAGGGAGCCATCATGGAGAAAACCCTTCTTCTTGGTCCTGCTAGATGGACCTCCTTAGGAGAGGGGACATAGCATTCCCTGCTTCCTTGCTGTAGTGGGTCAAGTAGATATGACTAGGAAAAGACGGTCCTTCAAATCCATGAATGGTTTAAGTATAGTTGTCCTACTCAGTTCACACACCACATTAAACTATAAACCATGGTATACAAATCACAGAGCTAGATCTGTACAACATGATATGTCCAAAATTGGACAAATCATTTTATTATCTTGAGCAATACTCTGCTAAGATACCCTATGTGACACAAAAAATATCATCTGTCCCAGGTAAACTAGACAGCAAACACAACTAGATGAACTAATTCTACTTTATGGTCAGGCTACATTAACAGAATCTTGCAAGTATGAAAGAACAACTTCCTGCTGCCACTTTTAAGCATTTGATTAATTAGGACTGGTCCTTCCTGAGTTTCTCTCTTTGACTGTTAAGCTACTGGGGGCTCCTGTGTCTCTTATCTGATTGTTTCTTAGACAACATGCTTTCCCCTCATTTCCCAAAGTCACACACACATTCCAATGCAAGCCTATTCTTAATTCATTGCCAATCAAAAGTTAATGGATATATTAAAAGAAGAGAAGTAAATCCACATAAATGCTCATATGCATATCGCATACAATGTTCTACAAGTGTGGACAGAACACCATCCTGACATCTCAACAGGTATAGTGTCTCTATATCAGAATGCATATATCCATCTGTTATGTACAGCCATGAAATTAATAAGCATGTGTGAATCTTGCAGTTTGAATATACATCTCTCTCCCTTTCTCTCTCTCTCTTCAATCAAATCACGGCCTTCTAAATGAATGTATATATTTTAATGAATCTATTTTTTGAAGCTTACGGATAAATCTAAGATCAATGATTGCCTTAATTATCTTTTTTCTCTGTGCTCTATGTGCTAGCTATGGGGAGAACATTTACATTCATTTTGTTACACATTTTTTAAATTATTATGTGTTGACTTTAGGATCCGAAATATTGTGTTTACTTACTTTCACATAAACAATCAAATGCTTCCAGATTTCCTTATTGAAAAACATTGACTCTGTCACAGAGCATAGCTCATTGAAATGTGGACAACTTCTTATATGACCTGAACTTTAAATCAAGTATTTCTTTTTGTTTTTTGCAATAATCAGACAACAGATTGTAGATGCAGTTGTCAACAAAAGGCATCATTCTCCAAGATTTGCCTTACTGATTTGATGACAGGAACTCTTCAGTTCACAACAATTGAATTTTGTTAAACTCCGGCATAAATCCAAACCAATATAATGTTACATCTCATATCCCTTAATTGCAATATTTACATTTATTGAGTTTCTGCCTCCCTTTCGCTACTGTTTGCTAGATGGAAAGGTGGATGGGAATATTAAAGCACATTTTGAGCACTAACATATTGTAGGCATGAAGGAAAAGGTAACATCAAAGTCTAGTGACTCATTTCATAATAAGGGTAATATGAGAATGATGATATTCAGCTGATTTTTAAGTATTAAAATAATGCTTAATATCTTGCAAGTTCCAGTTTAGTCAGGTATTTGGCTCAGGACCAAGCTATCTTCGAAACCGCCTTCTACCACATAGCTCCCAGCGATCGGTAAGATCCCACAGAGTCGGTCTCCTCCGGGTCCCGTCAGCTAAACAATGTCGGCTGGCGGGCCCATGGGGGAGGGCCTTCTCTGTGGCTGCCCCGGCTCTCTGGAACCAATTACCTCCTGAAGTCCGGACCAACCCCACCCTATTGGCCTTCCGGAAAGCAATGAAAACCTAGCTCTTCTGGCAGGCCTGGGGCTGTTGATCTCGTTATAGTGATCTTGTGACCCAGCCACAAATTGGAGTGTATATGTTTTAACGTTTTAATGTTTTAATGTCTTCTTTTAACTTTTGTATGGGATATTGTTGCATTGTTTTATTCTCTGTTGTAAGCCGCCCAGAGTCCCTTGGGTGTTGGGTGGCATAGAAATGCGACAAAATAAATAAATAAATAAATAAATAAATAAATAAATAAATAAATAAATATTTAAGTATTCATGCCTTTATTTGATTAATTGTTAAACCTAAGTTTGAAATGTTAAAATGAGGTTTTTAGCTCAATAAGATATTCTCTTAAATATAGAGCTTCAGTACCCAGAAGCAAAAGCCCTCTTTCAGATGCTAAAGAGGGTTGTACATCACATTTTAAGCAAACTGGAAAGATATGAATTTAGGATAGTATTGAAACAACTAGGGGAGTAACTGTTCCTGGACAAGTTCTAGCAGCCAGAAGGAAAAGAATTAATGTCCTTACACAGAGATTCCACTTCTGTCTAATTTAAATAAGAAAAAAGGGTGACAAGAACCATTCTGAAAATATTGATTGTCCTTTACTTAAGTTATAATCTCCTCCAGTTCTTGAGCTTTGTCTGTTAATGTATGTGAAACTTATAAAATGCCATCTTGCCTCCAATAATCACATCCTAAAGAAAAGACACAGCTTCTGAAGAATTGCAGAATTCTCACCCTTTAAGAATCTAGAATGCCCAGAATTTTAGAATGATTGGCAGCATTCTGTGTATTTCATATTTATAACAGCAAAGACCCACCATTAGGAATGACACTCAATAGTTTCAAATTTTCAACTTGCTCCAAATAGCTTCAAATAGCCCAGACTACGTAGCTTGAATAGTTTCATACTATGGAGGAGGTGATAATGCAAGCATGGTTTTTCATTCCGGATAACATCCAGATGTGGATATAGGAAGTGATCAGACATAGCTATTTTATGACAAAGCATATGAGGTAAGTTATTCCAGGTTTCAGTGATGTAATGAGGGAATTAGCCAGTATTCGCAGTTAGATGCAGTCTGTGTCCTGTATTCACATTTATCTTTTCTGCCAGAATTTAGATTAGACATTCCTCTGCTGTGGGGATCCTGTCTCCATAAAAAGGCACTATAGTGTCTGGTGTCATGTCAATCAGAAGCAATGCCATCAAAAACAAGTTTATAGAAAGGTGGAGGAAGAGCTGTCATACCACACTACTGCAAAAAGTAAGGAAAACCAAAACAGTTGGAGACAAAGACTTGGTTTTTTGGCATACTGAAAATGTTGCTTGACTCCCTATTGCAGCTAAGAGAAGTAAAACTACCCATGGCACTGAAATGGAAGATAAAACAGAATTAGAAATCAGCATTGCTCACTTTTCAAAAAATTGCAATATAATACTGAAACATTGTGGAATAGTGAAATCTATAGCATCCTTTAAATGCATTCTTCAGAACCCTAAAGGTTTATTCTCTTTGTGTTAAAAAAAATAATACTTAGGTGACTTTTGGTCTGGTGGGCAAATTTAGAATTTAAAAAACAATTTGAGGACTTTCTTATAAAATGTCTGCCCTTATTCATAAAATGGCTGCCATAGGAAGTATGTCCTATCAAGAAATGCCATTTCTCAAGAAGACAAACTGGCGAAGGGGACCTTGCAAGTCTAGGATGATATCCAACTGTCCTAGTTTATCATAGATTTTTTCCCCTGTATAAGTACTTATGTTAATCTAATCACTCATTATTTTCAGCAAATGCCTCTGGGTTTATGTAGGGTCTAGAAACATTCTTGGAAATAAGCATTATGTTAGAAATGTCTTTGTAGAATTACAGTTTCTCTGAAAAGAAATAAAAAAACCCTTGGAAACAAAGTCATACAGAAGCCAAATGTACATCGAAGAAGGTATTTACTAACATCAAATGCTCTGTTATGGTCTACTAATATGGCTACAAACCTTGAAACTCACATGGCTTTTCTTCTGCTTCCTTCCTTTGAAGAGAAGGTGTTTTTATGTTAACTACAATTAACAATATATGTCATCAAAAACTATGGTTTAATTTATCTTAGTTTTGAAGAAGCATGCTGAAAACACTTCAAAAAAGCCCTGGAGAAAAGGTCTCATGACTCCATTGTAATGTTAGAATACCTGAATATTGGAAAGGCTATTGGCAGGGGCCCCCATTCTCTTCATGCTGATTGTAGGGGCAATGGATCAGTGGTGAAATCTAAAATTTGTTCTGTGACGTGGGAGGGGTAATGTGACTAGGTGGGCGTGGCAAATTTTTTTTTAACTTTTAAAACCATTTTTTAAAATGGATCGTCAGAGGCATTTAAAAGAAAAAAAGGGCTTTTCAAAAGGCTCTGACGATCCCAGCTGAGTTGCCTGATCGGCAGAGGTTTTTTTTAAAAAAAACCCTTTTTTTCTTTTAAAAGCCTTTGACGATCCCAGCTGAGCCGCACGATCATCAGAGGCCTTTTTTTCACTTTTAAAAGCATTTTTTGGCCAAAGAGGTTAAAATGCTTTTAAAAGTAAAAAAAAAAAAAGCCTCTGATGGTTGTGTAGCTCAGCTGGGCATGGTGGGGGGGGGGCGCATGGATTTTTGCTACCGGTTCTCTGAACCACCCGCCTCCATCACTACCGGATCAGGCGATCCGGTCCGAACCGGGAGCATTTGACACCTGCAATGGATATTTAAAAACAGTTAATATTGTGTGGAGTTAGAGAGGAAATGCTGTAAAACCTAAATTAGAAGACAACCTTATAGTTTGGGATGATCAGTCAATCCAGGATACTGTGATCACAGAAGAGCACGGAAGGAAATTGGAATGGCCTATATTGATTAGTAGGCAACCTTTCATCCTAAATTAAGTGCCTGGGTATTTCATGGAGAACAACATTACTCTCCTTTAATAGTGGTATTAAAATTATAGTGGCAGTATGGTGCGTTTCAGGGGTGGGTTCTACTTATCTTTACTACCGGTTCGCAATGGGGCTACATGCGCTTTTCTGCGCAAGCGCAGAAGCGTTTTGATGATGTCAGGGTCAGTGGGCAGAGCCTCCTGCCGGTTTTACTACTGGTTCTATAGAACCAGTGCGAACCGGGGACAACCCAACACTGGTGCGTTCACATTATTCTAGGTGCTATCTGATTATTGGAGGAGGTGAACTATGGGCTTGATGCAATACCTGGCTCAAATTTGAGCCTTAACAAGCAAACAGTGATAGCTCAGAATGCCTGTGTAATGTTTTCAGATAGTCACTGTTTATTTATACAACCTCATGAGTACTGCACTTCCAGGGATACAAATAATAGCGGTCTGGACTAATGCTTTGCATAAAACCCTAATATTTTTTGTTCAGTTTGACCAACCAGATGTATTGCATGATAGTAAATCAGAATGCTCATTTATAATGGTTGAGCATACTGTAAAGTATTCTTTGAACCCCAGCCATCCATTTCAGCATGATGTGAGAAACCACCACTGCTTTGCTAGAAGAGCAGGAACAACTGTTGTGCCAACCGAAACTATAGCTTCACCAGGAGAGATCAAACACCTACTTGTGGATTGTCAGGCTGTTAGTGAGGCTGGTTTTATAACCTCTTTATAACCTCTTTTTAAGTTTGTTGTTTATCTGCTTCAACTGATTATATCTGGCATGACCTTATAGTGTTTATTTTGAAGGATTGGGCGTGTGCAAGATCTTCCATCATATTTACACTAAACATAAGTCTGCTAACTAGTACAAATCCATACCTGGGAAGTTGGGTCATGGGTGGATCTACATACCATACATTGGAGTAGGCTCCCTATACAACCACAGAAAAATCTTTAGTTTACAGAATAGGCTTGCTTGGTTTATGTGGAAGACAGATTATTTGAGAAAACTACAGGCACCTATACTCCTTTCTTATCAGCAAACTTGACACAGGTGAGAAGGAGATACATTGTTTTGGGGGCTCTGCCTCCACCAATGACTGGAGAAATCCAGGAGTAGAAAAGATAACGGGTGTTTTTCCCTCAGAGAGTGTGGATGCCTCCGAGGGAAAAAAAAAAGTCTGAAGGTCCAGCATGGAAAAGTGCAACTTGGACTGTTGTAAGAGGTCTGCAATGATGGTTATTAAAAAGGACAACAGAGGGGGAAATGAAGACATTCCAGAGACACTGGAGGGAAAATTGATTACAGAATTTCTTCTTACAGAAGATTGATTCTTCTGTAAGAAGAAAACATCAATAGTAAATATAAACAGAGAACTTCTATATGTTGTAGAGTGCAGAGTACAATGTAGAGGTAATTTTAAGTGTAATAGTATAGAACAGGCATGTCCAACCCTTGGCCTGTAGGCCACATGAATCCATGGACAGCTAGTAATGCGACCCCAAAAGATTGTAAACGTCAAACATTATTACATGCATTTATATACATTCAATATATATTTGATATGTGGCCCAAGACAATTCCTTTTCACTCAGTGTTGCTCAGGCAAGCCAAATGGTTGGACATGCTGGTATTGAAGAACAGTAATAGGAACAGACTGTAGACATGATAGGAAATATCCACATATATATTTGTGAGTATATAGGTAAGTTTTACACATTGCTTTTGTGTTTTACAAATTAAAAAGTTTCCAAATCTGTTAGAAGAAGTCTGTTAAAATAAATCACCTGGTTTTTGCATCTCTCTAGACCAGGGGTCCCCAACCCTTGGTCCGTGACCCGTGCCAGGCCATGGCTCCTTGGGAACAGGGAAGTGCAAATGAATTGTGAGCGTGCAAAACCATCCCTTCTTCCCACCGCCACCACCAGTCTGCAGAGTGGAAAAGTTGGGGACTGTTACTCTAGAGTCTGGATCAGTCTAATTGGGTATGGTTTCAAAAAGAACCTGTGCAAATTTAATAAATGTCAAAGCATTATTGGAAAAGCAACATAATACATTGTTATACATTTAAGAGGGAAAATTTATCTACACTATCTGGTACTCTTCTAGTATACAAACATTTCCAATAATAATAGTAATAGCACAATTATTAGCAAAAAAAACAACAACAAAAACTGGTAAAAAAGGGGGGGATTTTTATTTTGAAGCATTTGTGTCTGCATTTTAATGCTTTATATAATTTTTAATAAAGTATATATTTTATTATATAAAAATTGACTTTACTTTGTATAAATATGTTTTTGTCTATATAAAGATATGTCTGTGCTTACCATTTAAGATGTTCTGCCTTGTACTCATTTTATTAAGCAGTTTGGCTTAATAAAATATTCCCTAGGTTGGCATACTTTGGGGATACAATATTTAGTCTATACTTCAGGGTCCCATCTCTTCCCATTAGACAATACTCCTGCTGCACACCCATCATACTCTTCCAGCAAAAAGTGTGCTATTTTTTTTCTTCTGGGAATGCATGGATGGATGGATGGGAGATACTGTAGATGACATTCAGTTTATATGAACAAGATTAAACTGTCAGAATCCATCCCTACATACGTACATACACACATCATACATACATACATACGTATTCTCTTCTTACTGTCCTGTTCCATTCTCCTGGTTTTTATACCTCCTTTTTTTCCCCCAGCAGAGCTACAATAGCACAGTAGACTTTTATTTAAAAAAAAAAATACTGCTCCCAGTAGAAATGATTTTTTTTTTCAATCACATTTCATTCCCTGAATACTTAATACTTTTTCTTGTTTGTTTGGTGTTCGGAGATGCCCCATTGCCGGTGGTGAGTTGCCCCCGGTTCGCACCAGTTCTATAGAACCGGTAGTAAAACCGACGGGAGGCTCCGCCCACTGACCCCGATGTCATCAAAGCACTTCTGCATTTGCGCAGAAGAGCGCGTGCTTGAGTGAAGTGAGTGTATGCGCAGGGCCCCACTGCGAACCGGTAGTAAAGGTAAGTAGAACCCACTCCTGCCCATTGTCCCCCTTTTTTTTCTGTTCACCTGCTAGAGAAAGTTTTCACACACACCAGCTTTTAAATAGCCCATTTTGGGCTATTTATCCTGATTTGACCTAATGGTTCCTATCTCTAATTCTGGGAAACCTATGTACCCTGAAGGAAAATAGCTGTGTTACTTTGTGCTTCTTATCCATGAAAATTTGACAGAGACACTATTTTCTGTGAATCCATGATATATCTTGATGTTCTTTGCTAAAAATTAGGCTCAACTCTTAACCGTACTATGTTTAAATAAATAAATGGATGCATGATTATATCTCAGCTTGGAAGCAATTATTCACCCCCATATATTTTCTTTAGGTTGCCATGCCATATTGGATTGAGTTATGTTACATACTGGAAATTGGGCATGGCACAGTTGAGGTCAGAAATCCAGGACCTGTGTTTTAAGAAAACCTTGGATAGAACTGATCAATTTGGCAGCAAATTCTTTGACAATGAGAACCAACATTCTGAATTGTTAGATTTAAGAAGTGGCAAAACATCAAATGAACTGAAAACTTTTTCAGGCCTTATGTCAATTTTCCTAATGTTGGTTAACTGATGATAAAGTTGCTTGCCAGCTGAAAATTATAGGGTGAATTCAAATCTATTATGTAAAATCAGGATCTATTTAATCTCAATATCACATCCAATATGAACACTTTTGGACTTTCAGCCATGGATATAAAAAATTCTTGAAAGAGGGAATGCCATCTTTTAATCCTTGAATAGAAATTACAGTTGGAACATCTACTGTACCAGATAAAAAGAATCCTATGTGGATCTTACTCTTAAGAATGCAAAAGTTTATGTCACACAGTTGATTACAAGGACTGGGATCCAGAATCCTTTGATTCATGGACTTACAAAAGTTTGAACACATTTAAAAAAATATACACATGTTCTGAACTGAAATATGCCAGGAGGATAAGACAAGTTGCAAGTGATCCCTGGTTTTTTGTATTTTGAAGGTGTAGTGTAGAAAATAATAATCAGATACTTCATGCTTTTCAATAGATATGTTCAGGCTTAGTTGAGAGGTGAGTTTGTAATGTGTTTTTTTTTTTAGAAATAATTTGCAAATTTGCTTAGAGAAAACATAAACCTCTCTCTCTCTCTCTCTGTGTGTGTGTGTGTGTGTGTGTGTGTGTGTGTGAGAGAGAGAGAGAGAGAGAGAGAGAGAGAGAGAGAGAGAGAGAGAGAATATGCATCACCTTAAACTGGAAAAACCAGTGCCACAAAACTGATTTTTAGTAGGCTGTGAAAGCTTTCTACATATACTTTGGAAGCCTTTTGGGGGCCAGAGTGGGGCAGGGAGGGAGGTTTCCTTCTTCTCCTTCAGCGCCAACAAGAAACAATCCTATTCTTATGAGAGTCACGTTTTTAATTTTACAATTCAGGAAAGTCAAACCTGTTTCACATTGCAACTAAATCTTGCTGGTGGAAGAGCAAGCAGGTATAAACTGGTACAGAGTGTCCTAGAACTGGTATTTCCTGAAATGCAGAAAAAGAAGCTTTGGCTTATGGCACAGGTTTGGATGCATATGGCTATGAGTCAATTTTGACTCCTGGCAATTGCCTGGACAAGTCCCTGCAGCCTTCTTGGCAAGTCAAGAGTGACTGGTCCAAGATCACCTAGCTGGCTTTGTGCCTAAGGTGGACCTAGAATTCATGGTCTCTCAGTTTCTAGTCCGGTGTATTAACCACTACACCAAATTGTCTGTCTTAAAGATAATTATATCGCCAACCACCTATAAAGATAGCTCGGATTTTCAGTTTCACAAAGGCAACAGAATAATATCGTTGGAAGGGAGGTCTTCTAGTCCAATAACCCAGCTCAAGCAAGAAGCCATATAACACAATGAAATTCTTTAAATGCATCTTCATAGAAGCTTAAGGATGTGAATGAAAGAATGTAGGCGATAAAAGAGCTACAAGAGATAGGAGGAGTTTGATCCTGGCTGGCTCAAGGTTGACTGAGCCTGCCATCATTCCAAGGTTGGTAAAATGAGGACCCAGATTTTTGGAGGCAATATGCTGACTCCATAAACCGCTTAGAGCAGGGGTGTCAAACTCAATTTCATTGAGGGCCACATCAGGACTGTGGTTAACCTGAGGGAGCTGGGCAGATGTGGCCGACTGGGTGGGCATGACTAGCTTGACGGACTCACTGGGTGTGGCTGACTGGGTGGGCATGGCCATCTTGATGCCACTCCCCAAACTGCTGGTATGTTTCCTCTTTGTATTGGGTAGACCAGGCTGAAGTGATGCAGGTAGACCAGGCTGGCCCCTTACATTTTCCAGGATGGCCCCAAGGGCCAGATCCAACCACATTCTTGAGCCTTGAGTTTGACCCCACCCTTGCTTAGAGAGTGATGTAAAGCACAATAGAAGTCTAAGTGCTATTGTTGTTGCTAGAAGAGCAATAGCACAACTTAATTTCATGGAAATGAAACCAATTTAATTGACACTGTCACTGTTACTGACAAAACAATTGGCACAAGCTTGCCAGCTGCTAATCTAAAGCCAATTCAGCTACTCTTTCTGGAAAAAAGATCTGGTAAAAATATCACTGCAGCTTGTTGTATAGTCTAAAATTGCCATCTTGTTTCCTTAAAAAATGTTAGGAAAACACTGTTGTTTCTCTTTTCTCAGAGCTCATGAGATTGTGTTCCCATTTGTTTAAATGTATACCTAGACTGTTATTATATCATGTTTTGTATTAGATTCATTGCATTATTTGTATTAAATAGGTTTAGTTTGCCATTTTTAATCTTCATTTATCATTTTTATTCCCCTTTTTAGAGGTTTTTTTAGATTTTAAAAATATTTTAAGCTTTTTATGTAATTTAATTTTTTGTATTTTTAATGCTTTTAAGTTCCTTGTACCCCATCCTTGCTGGTCTTTGACCATAATTAAGGTTGATGGTGATTAGTTTCTCCTGGTTTTGAGTGTTCTTATTTTGTATGATGTTCATTAATGCTGTTTATGTGCTCGTGTAAGACATGTAAAGGCTTTATAGGAAGATTTCTACACTGGACTGTAATGGAAGCATGGGAAGCTATTCATGAGAGAACTGATAATTGCTTTTGGTTGCTTGAACTCCCACAGACTTCTCAGATGCTTTGTAATTAAGGTTATTACTATGGGTATCATCTCTGAACCTTTACTCTCATTCATTTGTTTGTTTTTGTTTGTTTTTGGAAAGCACCCTTTCCCTCCAAAGACATGGGTGAACAATGAATGGTTCTCTAGATATTTCTGAACTACAACTCCTGACAGTCCCCATCAGCATGGTCAACTGTAAGATTGGTCGGAATCAGGATTTCAGTAGCACTTGCGAGTTCACACATTAGGCAGTCATATGGTAATAGGCTGGTAGCTCCTGGGTAACCAATAGAAGATCAATATCATCTATTATGGTAATTAGGAATGAATGAAAAGTTCCTTCTGGCTAGATTTTGTATCAATCGGTGATTTTTAAAAGGATTCTTAATAAATAATATAAGAACTTCTGCTTTGGGCAGGGGATTTAACTAGAAGATCTCCAAGATCCCTTCAGCCTTATGATTCTATGAACTATGAACTATTAAGGCAATGCAAAGCTTTAGTAGAGTGCTTTACTATATTCTGAAGTTGCTCTACCAAGCAATACAATCCCCCAAATTCAAAGAATAAAGCAAATCTGTCATATCACGTTATGTTTCTCCTGGGACCCTTTCTGGGCCTGTAGTAGATAAAAAAGGCTTCTGTTGGAGAAAGCACTCTAAAGTGAATTCCTGAGGAAAAAAATCACATCATCCATGCATCTCCACAAGGCACACAGTGTCACCATTGCAATACAAAACATCTACAGAACTGAGATGTGCAAACCCAACTTTTGAACACTTTGTCACGAAACATAGCTTGAAAAGTATCCTTTAATTCAAAGTCCATATTGCAGAGTCCACTATTTATAGATTTTTCTTTGGAATGTTTTTTGGTGCAAATTCAGAGAAATGTATAATCCAAAAGAAAATTTCCTTTCTTACTACATTTGTATTCCATCTTTATTTTATAGAACTCAGGATTGTGTACATAATACTTCTGCTACCCATTTTTCCACAAAAATTCTGTGAGGTGGGTTATGCTGAAAAAGAGAACCTGGCCCCAAATCACCCAACTGGCTTTCATGCCAAGGAAGGACTAGATTTCAGTATTTGGATTGCTAGGCCATTACTTTCCCCACTACGTGACACTGTCTGTATTAAAGGTAATTATATCCCCAATAGCCCATTAGAACATAAAATAAAGGCAAAGCTTTATTTTCAGGTTTTCATAAAGATGGAATTTCTCAAAATACCTTTTTGTAGAAGCTTAAGGAAATGAATGAAAGACTCTGAAATAATTAATAGCAAAACCCAATTTCATGGAAATGAAATCAATTTAATTGACAAAAATGTTTAAAAAGTCCTAGTAGGAAATGCAGAGCTGCTGATGGGGCCCAATATAATAAGGAGAAAGAGATCTTAGAAAACAAGACATGAAATCTTGTGTAAGGATAAATAATAATAAATAGAAGCTGCTGCAGAATAAAAATGCATGAGGTTTTATGTACGGTGTAACTTTCAACGAAACCTAAAAAGTGTAATTAGACTAACAAAATATTAGTAGGTGGGTTAAAAAGTGATAAATAATGTTGGAAATTCAAACAAGTCTACCTTACATAGAAGACCTTCAAGAACTAGTGTTATTAACCACTGGCCTTTTTGGCTGAGGTTGATAGAAAATGTAGTGAACCAATAGACAGAGGCAATGGCTCCTTTAGTTCTGAGATGCAGCCAACATTAAAACATAGAACATTATAATGGCATAGTTGGGAAAAATTGATTCAATTCATACACACACACACACACACACACACAGATGCCACATATGTTAGTTCAGCCGCCTTATTATATATCCAAAGTGGAAGGCCCAATTCTGATTAGAGGACCAGAAAAGAATGTAGGTTGTAGAATAATCCCCTAAAAGGAAATAGAAGGATGACTGTTGACTCACATTAATTCAGCTCTGAAACTACACACCAAATTATTAAAAAGTTGAGAAAAAGACATTGGAGATAGTTTTAAAAATTAACCCAATGGGGAAAAAATCAAACTACAATAACATTTAAATATATTATAACATTTCCTTGTTGATGCCTCTGTGATTTATCTGTAGTTATATATGACAAACATTTTCTGGAGATTCAACAGAGTTCCAGCATAGGGCATAACTTACTTTTTTTGGCTTCTTCAAGCTTATCTTTGGCCCGTTTTTCTGCCTGGAGAAGTTGCTGTATTCCCTGAGACTGGCTAGTCATTTTGCCTCTTTGAGTTCAGAAAATGCCTATGGCAACTGCAAAGGAGGAAGAAGGCTTTATGGCAAGACACCATATTTATTCAATACTTCTCCTGTTGTGTCAATAATCAAACCATAAACTTTGCTCTGTCTTTTTGCAGGCTAAAGCCAGATTAAAACCATGGAAGAAAACAAATAGCAGGTACAAAGAAGTGGATCTACTGGTTTGAGGGAGTTTCTCCATCCCTCCCCCCCATAGCTGCGCTCTTCCACATGGTTTACATGCAACCATCAACATAAAACCTTTGCTAGCTCTGTTTGATGGTGATAGTTATGCAATGTTTAGATTAAAAATATCAAGGTCAAGATCTCCAAGGTGATTACTATTACTAGGATTAAAAGCCATGATATATGGATCATGTGAGGACATGGTTTCCATTTCAGTATTTTGTATTGTTTGCATTTTTTAAAAAAAAATTTACTTGTACATATATACATTTATATTTAATTTATACCCTCAATTTCTATTGTTGACAGTCAGAACCACATATATGTAAAAAGAGGGGCTTTGATAACATTATTTCATTCAACAACTAGATTTTTTCTTTTACTCTTCTCCCATAAATGTCCCTTATAGTTTAATTTTCATATTTTGGCAGGATAATTGTGATGTAGTAATACTTGGGGACTGCAAAATAGGAGGTAGGGAGCTACATGTTGCTTATCCCGACTGATGGAAGCATTTCAGAGTGTTCGGATAAAGAAATAAATTAGAATATGAAAAATGTTTACAGACAGATTTTTGTACAGCTTCTTTATGTTTCACCTTTTGGAGTGGAATATGTCAGTGTGAGCTTTTATGTCAAGAAATGGCAACTTAACTTAGTTACCTGATTCTTGTGGTTCACAAGATGTGTGAAAGAACAGACAGTAAGATCTACATTATCTATTTTTATCTAATTGAACCTTCCTTCCTTCCTTCCTTCCTTCCTTCCTTCCTTCCTTCCTTCCTTCTGACAGTGAAAGGGAGAGTGTAGGACATCTAAAATGCTAAAACTGCTTTTACTTATTACATTTTTAAAATCCCGCCTTTATTACTTTATAAGTAACTCAAGGCAGCAAACATACCTAATATTCCTTCTTTCTCCTATTTTCTCCACAACAATAAATCTGTGACCTAGATAGGGCTGAGAGAGAGAGTGACTGGTCCAGAATCAGCCAGCTGGCTTTCATGCCTAAGGCAGGACTAGAATTCACAGTCTCCTGGTTTCTAGCCTGGTGCCTTAACCACTAGGCCAAACTGGCATTGTTTAGCTACATACGTTTTTCCTGACACTTACTCTGGGAACCAAAAATGCAAAGCAGCAAAAGAAAAGTGAATTGAAATGATCTGTTTTCATTAGTCTACCAACTGATGGGCTTACTTTCCAGATATAAACCTAGCAGCCCAGCCAAGCCTCTATCCACCCCCACCCCCACACTTACTCTGGCTCTCTGGATTCTCCCTTCTAACCAGTTTATCAGTACGGCTCTCCATCCTAAAGACTGACTTCTCACAATTGCTGAAAGTTTCTCCTACACACAGAAGGCACCTATAGCAAAACAACTTTTTAACCGCTTCCTATTCAGAATGCATGAAAGACAACAGATGCTCTGTGACATGCTTTTGCAGCCCAGCTGCTCCATCCCAGGTACAACTAGGTCTTGAACAATTGTGGTATCTAACTGCAGAATTCTGCCAGGTATTCTCTTCTCCTTCAGAGATTATTATCTTCTGAAGAGGATTGCAAAGGCCAAATAATGGACTCCATTCTGCTCAAGCTACCTTAACCCTAACCCTAACCCTAACTCACTTCCTTATCACTTAAGGGTAGAAGGAAGAAGGCCTGTGGCACAGTACTATTCAGGGGTGGGTTCTACTTACCTTTACTATTGGTTCTCAATGCCTTGCTTCTGCGCATGCGCAGATTACTGATGATGACATCCAGGGTGGTGGGTGGGGCTTCCCGCTGGTTTTACTACTGGTTCTTGCAAACTGGTCCGAAATGGGGGCAACCCACCACTGCTACTATTCCAACTAGAAGAAGAGATTTTTAAAAAAACGTTTCTCTGGCTTCTTAGGAGTTAATAGGCTGTTGGTTTTCCTGCCCTTTGTTCAATTCTAAAAAAATGTCCCCTGTTAGAACTGTTTGCCAAGCCTGGAACTATTTCATTATTGCTGAAACTGGCAATGTGCTAAGGAGCAGATGCACCATTGCTTTGCCATTCATACCATTTGCCTTCAAATGCGTGCATGCGCACACAGACGCACACAAACATAGAGTATCTCTCCCCCCACATTATGCTCTGTTTACGTGGCCAAGTAATCAAATAAGCATTTCAGCTTGTGGCAAACCGGAATTGCTTCCTTTCGTGACTTTATGCAATCGGGATCTCAGTGAATTCTATCTGTGAGCATCACATGAAAGTCTGTCATTGCCCAAAGAAGTAGATTTCCCAATTAGCAACAAACTGACTGTTATTATAGTTTCTACAGATGAGAAACTGGATTATTAATCTGTTGTTGGCCTGACAAACCAGTAAAGAGATCTTCATTATATAACACTTTTTCGAGAAAAGTATAAACCACCACCAACAAAAAAGATTTATAAATAAACACAGTTTTGTTGCTGGTCCGTTGGAAGTGAAGTAGTGAGATAGAAACCAGCACCTACTTACTTTATTAGCAAAATGTAGGAATCTTTGCAAAGATAAAAGGATGGATATCAATTTTTCTATTCTTCAGCTCTTGGCAAGCAGATTGAAAACCCCTGTAGCTCTGAATGACAAGATGGAAAAATGACACAGATGGATAATGTGTATTACTAAGTAAACAATGGAGTTAGGATATGCCTAAACCACTGAGTAAAATTTGGGGTCTCTTCCTGGATGAGGAAAAGTGCAAATGGAAATTATTTCAGTGGAAATAAGAAGTAATTTGTTCTTAAAAACCACTGATCCTGGATATCTATATTTGCTGTTCTCCCAATCATTTCCTTCAGTTTAGCTAATTTTTCAAAATGTGGAATTAACCCAGAGACTAAAAGAGAACAATTTTTTTTTTTATTTCCTAACCTGCAAAGGCGGTTTTTAGTTTGCAATCTAACAAAAGGCTTACTCTGGATTTACACCTTTTTTTTAATACACACAAAGTACATTTTATCACAAATTAACCAAACTTGGCTAGGTTTGCACAATATACTAAGTCACCCAAAAGGAAAAAAAAGACTGTGTAACCAAAGTTAATAGGGCAGGGCAGAAGCAGAACCCATAGGAAGGGTGGTGAGTTCAAATCTCCTTTTTAAGAAGGCCTCTGGATCTTCATAATCTGCCTCTGCCTTCTATTACTTGGAACAGAGGCTGTGTAATTCTTATTACTACTAGCTAACTTCTAACTTCTACCACATAACTACTACTTCTAACTTCCTCCTTCTGTAACTCTAGCACATGAGGGGTCACCCACATCCTGTGGGTTTTTTTCCAATTACTAAGTCAAATTTTAAGAAAAAAAATGTTATAGGGCCATTTCCCAGTGATATAGCATTGAGGCAAGGGACTATAAGTACCAGCTCTTTCTCCCATGTAGATAAATGTTAATTAAAGAAAATAATATTTGTAATTCAAATGTAAAACTCTCATTTCCTTTTAAATATCAAAATGCAAATATTCAAGGTTAAGGAAAAAAAATAGCTTTCTGAACTGCCCAACATATAACTAGCACCTTGTTTTATTAAAATATTCAATAAACCATAATACTCTACTCGGAACACAAATCACTAATTTTACTGCTTTGAGTGGATTTTACAAGGCTTCAGTTATCATGGAAAAACAGTGAGATAAAGTCCATAAAACTCCAAAAAAAATAATCCAACCACCATGGCTAGGGTATGCTATTTACGACTTATACAAAAAGATAAACATAATAAACAATACAAAATTAATACACCCCCCCCAAAAAATCAAAATATCATTGCAAGCATCTGAAAAAATATTTCTGTTTCTAGTGAAATAACCCAAAATCTTGAAATGAGTGTTCTCACTTATTCCCTTTTACCTGATTCAGAACAGCACATTTAGAGGGGGATTCTTTGTTGAGAAAGTTGTAAAAGCAAAGAATGGTTGTGTAAATACCAGTGTGCATGTGAAATTTTAGGTACGAGAGTTGGTGGGTTTGCATTGCAGAATCTTTCTAAAGAAAATTTAGGTGCGTTAGGTTGAGAAGCAAATGCCACTGTTTTCATCTGATGTGTCAACTAAAGAATTGGTGGAATTTTTGCATTTTCATTTTATCTTTCACAACAGTGTTTCTACTTCACTTGTCTTTCATGCCTTGTGTCACTAGCTCCTACCACATCCTGTTTGGTTCTTGGAATTTTTTTTTCTATTTCTTAGCATGGGGCTGCACTCTACTGAGAGCTTCTTTATTCTGTTGTACAGTTGTTGCAAAAGGGTTATCAGATCTGGAAGGAAAAATTCAGGTGAACAATAGATTGCAGCAACCATGGATGGTTTCTGCCCATCCTACTAGATCTGGCAAGATGGGAACACTCTGGATTCCCAGAGTGAAGTAGTGTTGCCGGTGGGGTTTCATAAGCATGCCTTCACTGTCATGATGGAACAGTCTCCCTTGGCAATACAGAGGTCCCGACACTGTTGGCCTTTGAAGATCTGGCTCCTCCCCCACCCCCCAGGCTGGGGGAGTGGGGGAGCACTGTGAAGAACTGACTTCTCTTTCCCCCCCCCCCGGCACTGTGTCCATGATGGGTCCATGTGTCTGGCTTTCACCCCGTCCCCCAGATACTGTGTCCATAATGTTGGTAGAGCTGGCATTGGGGGTGAGTAGATGGATGCAAGTTTTATTAGGGCCTCAAAGTTGTTTATTGTTTTTAATTCTTGTTTTACTGTATTGTGTTTTTATTCTGTTCACCACTCAGAGAAAAGGAAAGGAGGGAGGATGGGAGGGGGGAGGGAGGGATAGGGAAAAAGAAAGAAAGGAGGAAAGAGAATAAAAGAGAGATAGAGATAAAAAGAAGAAAGAATAAAAAGAAAAACAGATAGAAATAAAGAAAGAGAAAAAGAAAGGAAGGAAGAGAGTGAAAAAGAGAAAGAAGAAGAAAGAAAGAAAGAAAAAAAAAAGAAAGAAAGAAAGAAAGAAAGGAAGGAAGGAAGGAAGGAAGGAAGGAAGGAAGGAAGGAAGGAAGGAAGGAAGGCTTATGGCTGGTTTGGATGTTTGCAGCCCTGATAGCTCTGTCTAGGTTAAATGGAAGATACAGAATCTGAAAACTTTTGGAACCTTAAGAGAATAATACACTTCTTTTCATCCAACACTAGAGGTCATTCTTAAAGAAGAATGGAAAGTATTTTAATTAGAATTTGTGATGTT